GCAACACTCACATGCCCCTCTCGCAACACTCACATGCCCCTCTCGCAACACTCACATGCCCCTCTCGCAACACTCACATGCCCCTCTCGCAACACTCACATGCCCCTCTCGCAACACTCACATGCCCCTCTCGCAACACTCACATGCCCCTCTCGCAACACTCACATGCCCCTCTCGCAACACTCACATGCCCCTCTCGCAACACTCACATGCCCCTCTCGCAACACTCACATGCCCCTCTCGCAACACTCACATGCCCCTCTCGCAACACTCACATGCCCCTCTCGCAACACTCACATGCCCCTCTCGCAACACTCACATGCCCCTCTCGCAACACTCACATGCCCCTCTCGCAACACTCACATGCCCCTCTCGCAACACTCACATGCCCCTCTCGCAACACTCACATGCCCCTCTCGCAACACTCACATGCCCCTCTCGCAACACTCACATGCCCCTCTCGCAACACTCACATGCCCCTCTCGCAACACTCACATGCCCCTCTCGCAACACTCACATGCCCCTCTCGCAACACTCACATGCCCCTCTCGCAACACTCACATGCCCCTCTCGCAACACTCACATGCCCCTCTCGCAACACTCACATGCCCCTCTCGCAACACTCACATGCCCCTCTCGCAACACTCACATGCCCCTCTCGCAACACTCACATGCCCCTCTCGCAACACTCACATGCCCCTCTCGCAACACTCACATGCCCCTCTCGCAACACTCACATGCCCCTCTCGCAACACTCACATGCCCCTCTCGCAACACTCACATGCCCCTCTCGCAACACTCACATGCCCCTCTCGCAACACTCACATGCCCCTCTCGCAACACTCACATGCCCCTCTCGCAACACTCACATGCCCCTCTCGCAACACTCACATGCCCCTCTCGCAACACTCACATGCCCCTCTCGCAACACTCACATGCCCCTCTCGCAACACTCACATGCCCCTCTCGCAACACTCACATGCCCCTCTCGCAACACTCACATGCCCCTCTCGCAACACTCACATGCCCCTCTCGCAACACTCACATGCCCCTCTCGCAACACTCACATGCCCCTCTCGCAACACTCACATGCCCCTCTCGCAACACTCACATGCCCCTCTCGCAACACTCACATGCCCCTCTCGCAACACTCACATGCCCCTCTCGCAACACTCACATGCCCCTCTCGCAACACTCACATGCCCCTCTCGCAACACTCACATGCCCCTCTCGCAACACTCACATGCCCCTCTCGCAACACTCACATGCCCCTCTCGCAACACTCACATGCCCCTCTCGCAACACTCACATGCCCCTCTCGCAACACTCACATGCCCCTCTCGCAACACTCACATGCCCCTCTCGCAACACTCACATGCCCCTCTCGCAACACTCACATGCCCCTCTCGCAACACTCACATGCCCCTCTCGCAACACTCACATGCCCCTCTCGCAACACTCACATGCCCCTCTCGCAACACTCACATGCCCCTCTCGCAACACTCACATGCCCCTCTCGCAACACTCACATGCCCCTCTCGCAACACTCACATGCCCCTCTCGCAACACTCACATGCCCCTCTCGCAACACTCACATGCCCCTCTCGCAACACTCACATGCCCCTCTCGCAACACTCACATGCCCCTCTCGCAACACTCACATGCCCCTCTCGCAACACTCACATGCCCCTCTCGCAACACTCACATGCCCCTCTCGCAACACTCACATGCCCCTCTCGCAACACTCACATGCCCCTCTCGCAACACTCACATGCCCCTCTCGCAACACTCACATGCCCCTCTCGCAACACTCACATGCCCCTCTCGCAACACTCACATGCCCCTCTCGCAACACTCACATGCCCCTCTCGCAACACTCACATGCCCCTCTCGCAACACTCACATGCCCCTCTCGCAACACTCACATGCCCCTCTCGCAACACTCACATGCCCCTCTCGCAACACTCACATGCCCCTCTCGCAACACTCACATGCCCCTCTCGCAACACTCACATGCCCCTCTCGCAACACTCACATGCCCCTCTCGCAACACTCACATGCCCCTCTCGCAACACTCACATGCCCCTCTCGCAACACTCACATGCCCCTCTCGCAACACTCACATGCCCCTCTCGCAACACTCACATGCCCCTCTCGCAACACTCACATGCCCCTCTCGCAACACTCACATGCCCCTCTCGCAACACTCACATGCCCCTCTCGCAACACTCACATGCCCCTCTCGCAACACTCACATGCCCCTCTCGCAACACTCACATGCCCCTCTCGCAACACTCACATGCCCCTCTCGCAACACTCACATGCCCCTCTCGCAACACTCACATGCCCCTCTCGCAACACTCACATGCCCCTCTCGCAACACTCACATGCCCCTCTCGCAACACTCACATGCCCCTCTCGCAACACTCACATGCCCCTCTCGCAACACTCACATGCCCCTCTCGCAACACTCACATGCCCCTCTCGCAACACTCACATGCCCCTCTCGCAACACTCACATGCCCCTCTCGCAACACTCACATGCCCCTCTCGCAACACTCACATGCCCTCTCGCAACACTCACATGCCCCTCTCGCAACACTCACATGCCCCTCTCGCAACACTCACATGCCCCTCTCGCAACACTCACATGCCCCTCTCGCAACACTCACATGCCCCTCTCGCAACACTCACATGCCCCTCTCGCAACACTCACATGCCCCTCTCGCAACACTCACATGCCCCTCTCGCAACACTCACATGCCCCTCTCGCAACACTCACATGCCCCTCTCGCAACACTCACATGCCCCTCTCGCAACACTCACATGCCCCTCTCGCAACACTCACATGCCCCTCTCGCAACACTCACATGCCCCTCTCGCAACACTCACATGCCCCTCTCGCAACACTCACATGCCCCTCTCGCAACACTCACATGCCCCTCTCGCAACACTCACATGCCCCTCTCGCAACACTCACATGCCCCTCTCGCAACACTCACATGCCCCTCTCGCAACACTCACATGCCCCTCTCGCAACACTCACATGCCCCTCTCGCAACACTCACATGCCCCTCTCGCAACACTCACATGCCCCTCTCGCAACACTCACATGCCCCTCTCGCAACACTCACATGCCCCTCTCGCAACACTCACATGCCCCTCTCGCAACACTCACATGCCCCTCTCGCAACACTCACATGCCCCTCTCGCAACACTCACATGCCCCTCTCGCAACACTCACATGCCCCTCTCGCAACACTCACATGCCCCTCTCGCAACACTCACATGCCCCTCTCGCAACACTCACATGCCCCTCTCGCAACACTCACATGCCCCTCTCGCAACACTCACATGCCCCTCTCGCAACACTCACATGCCCCTCTCGCAACACTCACATGCCCCTCTCGCAACACTCACATGCCCCTCTCGCAACACTCACATGCCCCTCTCGCAACACTCACATGCCCCTCTCGCAACACTCACATGCCCCTCTCGCAACACTCACATGCCCCTCTCGCAACACTCACATGCCCCTCTCGCAACACTCACATGCCCCTCTCGCAACACTCACATGCCCCTCTCGCAACACTCACATGCCCCTCTCGCAACACTCACATGCCCCTCTCGCAACACTCACATGCCCCTCTCGCAACACTCACATGCCCCTCTCGCAACACTCACATGCCCCTCTCGCAACACTCACATGCCCCTCTCGCAACACTCACATGCCCCTCTCGCAACACTCACATGCCCCTCTCGCAACACTCACATGCCCCTCTCGCAACACTCACATGCCCCTCTCGCAACACTCACATGCCCCTCTCGCAACACTCACATGCCCCTCTCGCAACACTCACATGCCCCTCTCGCAACACTCACATGCCCCTCTCGCAACACTCACATGCCCCTCTCGCAACACTCACATGCCCCTCTCGCAACACTCACATGCCCCTCTCGCAACACTCACATGCCCCTCTCGCAACACTCACATGCCCCTCTCGCAACACTCACATGCCCCTCTCGCAACACTCACATGCCCCTCTCGCAACACTCACATGCCCCTCTCGCAACACTCACATGCCCCTCTCGCAACACTCACATGCCCCTCTCGCAACACTCACATGCCCCTCTCGCAACACTCACATGCCCCTCTCGCAACACTCACATGCCCCTCTCGCAACACTCACATGCCCCTCTCGCAACACTCACATGCCCCTCTCGCAACACTCACATGCCCCTCTCGCAACACTCACATGCCCCTCTCGCAACACTCACATGCCCCTCTCGCAACACTCACATGCCCCTCTCGCAACACTCACATGCCCCTCTCGCAACACTCACATGCCCCTCTCGCAACACTCACATGCCCCTCTCGCAACACTCACATGCCCCTCTCGCAACACTCACATGCCCCTCTCGCAACACTCACATGCCCCTCTCGCAACACTCACATGCCCCTCTCGCAACACTCACATGCCCCTCTCGCAACACTCACATGCCCCTCTCGCAACACTCACATGCCCCTCTCGCAACACTCACATGCCCCTCTCGCAACACTCACATGCCCCTCTCGCAACACTCACATGCCCCTCTCGCAACACTCACATGCCCCTCTCGCAACACTCACATGCCCCTCTCGCAACACTCACATGCCCCTCTCGCAACACTCACATGGCCCACCGTTTCTCCTGCCTTTCGTGCGTCCACCACTGCTTGTAGAAAGTCCATTGATACCTGCACCCACCTGGGTTGGAGAGCAAAGTGGGAGTGAGACGAGGAAGGGATGCGGGATGAGGGGAAGGATGAGAGGGGAGAGATGAGAAGTGAGAGATGAGAGAGAGGGGAGAGATAAGAGGGGAAAGATGAGAGGAACGAGGGTGAGAGGGGGAAGGGTCAGGGAAGATGAAGTTAAGACGCCAAGTATTCTGGTGTGATTGGGGTCCGTAGGTGTTTGTATGGAGAGTAGAGTGCGCCGGGATGCACCCACCACCAATGCATCACTGCATCCATCACATCCATCACATCCATCACACCCATCACACCCACCACACCCACCCACCCACCCACCCACCCACCCACACACCCACCCACCATATACTACTAGCAGTGAGTCCCTGCAGATATGCCAGATGCCCGCCATGGTGCGACACTGCCAGCACCACGTTTGGGTTGGCTCTGAAGGAGAGGAGAGGAGAGGAGGGGAAAGAAGGGCGGGGAGAGAGAGGAAAGGAGGGTTTATCTCCCCACTCCAACTCACTTGGTCTCGTCTCAGGGAATGGCTTTCTGGTGCAGATTGGGTCATCTAGTGCGCTAACAGCCAGCAGCGGCACCGCCACTTGCGGTTTAAGTTGACTCAAACATATCCTCACCACCCCCTTTGCTTCCCCACATTCACTCACTTTTGAGAATTCTCAAAAGTTCATCCTCACCACCCCCTTTGCTTCCCCACATTCACTCACTTTTGAGAATTCTCAAAAGTTCATCCTCACCACCCCCTTTGCTTCCCCACATTCACTCACTTTTGAGAATTCTCAAAAGTTCATCCTCACCACCCCCTTTGCTTCCCCACATTCACTCACTTGGCCTCGTCCCAGGGAATGGCCTCTCTGGTGCAGATGGGGTCGTCCAGTGCGCTCACAGCCAGCAGAGGCACCGCCACCTCTGGCAGGAACTGGGCCGACCCGCATCGACGATAGTATGTGTCTACGGTCTGAAGAGGGGGGGTAACAAAGGGAAGGGGGGGAAGGGAAGGGGCAAAAGTAGGGGCGAGAAGAGGGGTTAAGGAGGAGGGGGGCAGTGGAGTGGACAGCCAGCAGCGGCACTGCCATTGCAGGGAGGAACAAGCAGAACCAGTTGAGGCAGGAACTGAGGACAGCTGCAACAACGGGGATCAGAAGAGCATGATGAAATTGAACAAGACGTCATCAGGGTGCAATCAGGTTTCATGACAGCACAGGGAGTGGACAGAGTGTAATCAGGCTGAAATACATGACGTGCTTACATGACCTCAAGGGATGCCATGAGAGGACAGAGCAGCATGGCAGTACCTCATAGTTGCTGACGATGCGAGTTTTGAGGCGCCTCAGAAGATTTTGGAGACAATTTTTGAGGCGCCTAAAAACAAATTGAGGCGCCTAAAGAATCGCAGCACGGCCGTACCTCGTAGTTGCTGACGATGCGAGTGATGCGGTCGTCAAACTGGCGGATGGTGCGCGCCTGAAGGAGTTTGCGGGGATGGTGTGGTGGTGAGAGGGCAAAGACAGAGAAAGGAGCAAGGAATGACGTGAGAGGGTAGCTCGGAGCAGGAGAAAGGGGAAGAATGTCAAAGCGGATTCTGCAGTTGTTGGAAGTGCCCAAGGTTGAAAGGAAATAATAAGCTGGTGAAAGCGGATTCTGCAGTTGTTGGAAGTGCCCAAGGTTGAAAGGAAATAATAAGCTGGTGAAAGCGGATTCTGCAGTTGTTGGAAGTGCCCAAGGTTGAAAGGAAATAATAAGCTGGTGATCAGCACACACACGAGTATGTTTTTTGAGAACTTGTTAAGGACGAGTCACCTGTTGGATCCAGGTCGAACCTGTTCTTCTTTGGAAGTGCCCAAGGTTGAAAGGAAATAATAAACTGGTGATCAGCACACACACGAGATGAACCTAATGCGCTGCACATGCACTAACATTCCAGCCAGTACATGCCGCCCAGCACATGCCGCCCAGCACATGCCGCCCAGCACATGCCGCCCTGCATATGCCACCCGGCACATAGCACATGCCGCCAGCCCATGCCACCCCGCACACGCATGTTGCAGAGAACATGCTGCCCACCCACCTTCATGACGTGCTGCACGTCCACGAGGTGCTGAAAGCTGTCCTTGTGACTGTGATGGGGGAGGAGGGGAGAGGGGAGGGGAGAGAGGAAACAAGAGGCGAAGGGGGAAGAGAGGTGAGCAGAGGTGCTGCACGTCCACGAGGTGCTGAAAGATGTCCTTGTGGCTGCGAGGGGAGAGAGGAGAGGAGAGGTGAAAGAGAGTGGAGGAGGAGGGCGGGGGGGAGAAAATGACCGAGAACCAAGCAAAGGCAAGGCAAAAGAGTGCAGAGGAAAGAGGAGGAGGAGGGTGGGGGATGAGAAGGAAAGCAATAAAGGAGGACAAGTGAGCGGGAAAAGAATGCAGCACAGCCGCAGTTTCAGACATGAGAGTAGTAATTTACATCACACGCACATTCAGAGATTCTCACACCACAACTCAAGCCATCCCATGGCATCCCATGCCATCCCATGCCCTCCCATGCTATCCCATACCATCCCATGGCATGTCATGCTAACCCATGGCATGTCATGCTAACCCATGGCATGTCATGCTAACCCGTGGCATCTCATGCTATCCCATGGCATCTCATGTCACTCCATCTTATCCCATGACATGCAGCCGTGGTCTCACAGCTTGGCCATGCCATGCCATGGCATCATCACAAGGGTTTCGTCTCACAGCTTGGCAAAGTCTCTGAGGCCCGTGACCATGGCAGTGTTGTACACTCGCTGCCTTGTCCGCCGATTCATCCATCGGTCACAGATCTGGGCGAAAGGGTGGGGGGGGGAGAGAGGGGGAGAGAGGGCGAGAGAGGTGGGGAGAGGGGGAGAGAGGGGGAGAGGGGGAGAGAAGGGAACAGAAGGGGCATCACGCACTGGTTTAGGGTTCAGGGCTAAACAATATAGAGCGCAGGGCGCAGTGGGTAAGGGAGGGGGGGGGGAAAAGGAAGTGGGGAGATAAAATGGGCATGAGGTTGCTTCTGAGCCGAAACGTGTGCGAAATGCGAATGGCGCTGTTGCTGGCAGTTGAATGCGCACTCGCAAAACGTAAGTAACTCCATTATGTGTGAGAAGATATTTCAATTACAGCCCATCCACGCCACACCAGTGCCGCCCATCCACGCCATGTGTAGAGTGGACCAAGAGCGGACCAGTGAGAGCATACCAGCACGGCACATGGTGGGACAAGGCGAGCCCATACCAGCAGATCCCAGGGATTGCCGATGGAGACAGCAGCTTGGATGGGCCCCGTCGCACCCTCCTCCCCGAGGTACTTCACCTGCAGTTGAGGGGGAACGGGGGGGAAGAGACCGGAAGGAGGGGGGGAGAAGGAAAGCAGGGAGGGCAGGACAGCAGAGAGGGGAGCACAGATGGAGACAACAGCTTGGATGGGCCCCGAGGCACCCTCCTCCCCAAGGTACTTCACCTGCAGTAGAGGAGTGGGTGGATGGGAGGTCGAGGGGATGAGAGTAACACATTCCACGATGCCTCACCACAAGTCTTCTTGGCTCCCAGCGACGTGCCAATGGCATAGAGGGGCGCCAGCGGGTAGTCTTCCTGCACAAGCCTGATGAGTCGCCCGCACCCTCCCCCCCCCTCCACCACACCAGCATGCTTCAAGGCTGCCCATCTATCTTCAAGTCATTCTGTGAAACTCCCTCACTCACCAGGATGTTGGCTCCCAGCGACGTGCCGATGGCATGGAGGGGCGCGCGGGGTGGGGGTAGTCCTGCTGCACAAGGCCGGTGAGTGAATAAGCCCCTCCCACCTTCCCACCCGCCCACTACACCTGAAGCAGTCTCACCAGGATGTTGGCTCCAAGGGACGTGCCGATCGCATAGAGGGGCGCGTAGGGGTAATCTTGTTGCACAAGGCTGATGACAAAGCGCAGGTCCGTGGTCCACCCCGCATTGTAGAAGCGGTTTGACTGGGAGTAGGTGGGGAAAGGGCGGGGAGAGAGTGGGGGCAGGGGCGGGGAAGGGAGATATAGAGGTGACAAAGCGCAGGTCCGTGGTCCACTCCGCCTTGCGGAAACAGCTCAAGTGCAGGAGCGGGAGGCTGTGGGGAGCGGGAGGCTGTGGGGAGCGGGCCGGGCCGGGAGGGGTGGCAAGGGGGTAGGGGAGGGGAAATGAGGCGACACTGCACTGCACTGCACTGCACTGCACTGCACTGCACTGCACTACACTGCACTGCACGAACTAGTCAGCAGAGGGGAGGGCTGGCTCCGCGACGCTGCTTCATGTGGATGGATCTATGTGGATGGATCTATGTGGATGGATCTATGTGGATGGATCTATGTGGATGGATCTATGTGGATGGATCTATGTGGATGGATCTATGTGGATGGATCTACGTGGATGGATCAATGGCACAGCTGATTCAATATAAGAATCGTGTGACTGTAACCCAGCGTGACTGTAAGCAGTAAATAAGGTGTTGCATGAGCTCACAGTGATGGTGACGTCACTCAGGCCTCAATGGTTGGGCACCAGCGCTCGCCACCCTCTTGAGAATTCTCTAAGGCGAATCCAGAGTAGGGGTTACGTACTAACTAAGCAGTGCTGCGTTGACTTTTGAGGCGCCTCAAAACTCAAAAAAAATTGAGGCGCCTCAAAACTCAAAAATTTGAGGCGCCTCAAAAGGTGAATTCTGAGTAGGGGTTACGTACCAACTAAGAAGTGCTGCGTTGCTTGAGCTCACTCACAGTGATGGTGGTAACGCATTCCCAGCCCTCGATGGTTGGGCACCGGAAAGCACAGTGGCGTGTGAGCACTGAGGACTATGCGTCATCTCATGACTATAAGAAGTGGTTACAGTGGTTACAGTGTTAAGCGATTTCAACGCACAGTGATGGTGACGCCCCCCAGGCCTCGATGGTTAGGCACCAGCGCTCGCCACCCGTGCCGTGTGACGCCCGCCACACACTGCCGCATGTACTGTGCAGGGGGGTGGAGTGCAGGGGAGGGAGGAGCAGGAACCCGAGGGGCGCAGAGGGGATTAAACGGGTGCAAAGGGGAGAAATGAGGAGCAGAAGGGAAGAAGGGAGCAGAGAGGAAGAAGGGAGCAGAGGGGAAGAAGGGAGCAGAGGGGAAGAAGGGAGCAGAGGGGAGCAGAGGGGAAGAAGGGAGCAGAGGGGAGCAGAGGGGAAGAAGGGAGCAGAGGGAAGCAGAGGGAGAGAGGGGAGGAATTGGGAGCCAATGCAACCTCCACAGCCACAGAAGTCACACAGAGTGCTGTGTGCTGTGTGCTGCGCAGATGCGAGCAGAGGGGCAATGAGAGGTGGAGGGTGGTGTGGGTAAAATTGGAGGTGGGAGAGGAGGGAAAACGGGTGAAGGGGGGAAGGGCAAGAGCGGATGGAGGGGGGAAGGGCAAGAGCGGATGGAGGGGGGAAGGGCAAGAGCGGATGGAGGGGGGAAGGGCAAGAGCAGGTGGTGTGTACGGGGAGGTGGGGGAAGCACGGCTTTGTGCTCGAATTACATTTTATCACCATCACCATCACCATCACCACCACCATCCCCATCCCCATGCCTATCCCATCCACACTGTCATCCCCATCCCCATCCTCATCCCCATCCCCACCCTCATCCCCATCCCCATCCCCATCCCCATCCACATCCCCATCCCCATCCCCATCCCCATCCCCATCCCCATCCCCATCCTCATCCCCATCCCCATCCCCATCCCCATCCCCATCCCCATCCCCATCCCCACCCCAGACCACTGCACCCCAACCCACACCACCCCTCACCTTGTCACAGGATTGGCTGGTAAGCCCCAGCACCACAATCACATATACATATCCATCATCCTTGTCAACCCCAACCAACCCCACCCCACCCCACCCCACCCCACTCCACTCCACCTCACCCCACTTCACCCCACTCTACCCCATCCCACCCTAATGCATCCCACCCTAACCGCATCCCACCCCCTTGTGACTGAACTGGCTAGTAAGCCCTGGAACCACAATCATAGATGTATATCCCCATCATCCCCATCATCTCCAGCCCACACCACCCCTCACCTTGTCACTGGACTGGCTGGTAAGCCCCGGCACCACAATCACAATCGGCACCTGCGACGTCCGCTCCGCCCGCCCTCCTGCCACCCTTGCCTCTCCGCTCCCCCCCATTCCGGCCGCCCCTGCACCCTTCCCGCCCTTCCCCCCACCATCTGTAGGAGAATGCAGGTGGCACGAGGCATCACGGCAGAGGCGAACGGGAGAATGGGAGGGACGGGGAAAAGGTGGGTAATGTGAAACGACGGACATGGAGGAGGGTGGGGTGTGGTGGGAGGAGGATAATGTTGTCTAAACGGATTTTGACGAAGTGATTTGGAGTTGACTATCACAAACCCATGCGCCCCCCATCACCCCCCTGCACCCTCCATCACCACCCTGCACCCCCCATCACCCTCCTGCACCTATTGTCGCCCCCCTGCACCCCCCTGCACCCCTCACCTGCTGCTTCGGGTTCGGCCCAATCGAGGCCGAGGGTGCCGCCATCAGGTGTGCGCACCACATGCCTGAATTGGAGGAAGGTACGGGAGGGCGTTAGGAGCAGAAAGAAGGAATGTGGCTTGAAGGAAAAACGAGGGGAGGAGAAAGACAAAGCACTTGACTAGGGAATCCTACGCAGAGGACACCCACCTGGTGTAGGACAATTTATGAGGACACCCACCTGATGTGGGGCACTTAATGAGCACACCCACCTGACGCAGGGCAATCTACGAGCACACCCACCTGATGTAAGGCACGTGGGGCGTGGGCGCGCAGAAGTGCACGAAGGTGGTCTGCAGGTGCGGACTGCACAACCACGGCGTTGGCCAGAAGCTACGGGGGAGAGGGAGAGGGGAGGGAGAGGGGCGTATGGGGGGGTGCACACGAGGGTCACACGAAGGTGGTCTGCAGGTGCGGACTGCACAACCATGGTGTTGGCCAGAAGCTGCAGGGGAGGAGGGAGAGAAGAGGGGAAGGGAAGTAGAGGGAATGGGGAGGGGAAGGGGGAGGTGGAGGGGCGCATGGGGTGGGGCGCATAGAGGCACACGTGGGACATACATGATCCATGGGGGCAGGTACGGGAGGGGGTGAACACACAGGTGCGGAGCGCAGAGCCAGAAGAGGGACACAGAGGGAGAGAAGAGGTCACAGGGGCGCACAGAAGCGTAACAAAGGCGCCAGATTGCAGAAAGTTTTTTAGGCGCGTCAAAACAAGAGAGTTAATAGCAGACTCTGGGACTCCGAAAACGAATTTCTGGTGGCTGAACCGTAGCAGCGGCACCATATTCAGTTGAATCCGGCAATGATTCTACTAGATTTGGTTGAATCCGTAAAGGATTCGAGCTACCAGATTTCGTTGAATCCGTCAAGGATTCGAGCTACCAGATTCAGTCGTGACTCGGGTGCCCCATTGCCGCCTTCAGTGCGCTTTTGCACTTTCCACGCGTCAGTCTGACTGCCCGAATCCCCTCGCTTCCCAATCAGATCAACCCCTACGGTGTTACTTGACTGAATCCATACCCGAAACAAGCGAAGCCGCCATTAACTGCGGAATGCGGAAGCCGCCACTCACTGCGGAATGCGCATTCGCGCGAACACGGCGCGCGCCACGTTGGACCCGGCGTGGTGCACCACCTTCACCCTATCGCCGACGAACAAGTGGCTGACCACGTGCAGGTCGAACCAATTGTAGAGAAACGCCAGCAGCAGCGCTGCGAGCGCCGCGAGGAGCAGCCACCACACGAGCGGCGGCAGCTGCGACACGGCGAGAGCGACGGCGGCGACGGATTCGAGGAGCCACGGGAGGAAATTTGGCGAAATCGCTATTGTAGAAAAAAAGGCATCGAGCGACGGGAGTGACGTCATCTTGGGAAGGGAGTCTCGAGGTGTCAGGCGACGCGTGATCGACGGCGATTCTCCGGTGTTACGGAAGGGTGAGCTCCTACAACGTCGCGCGCGCGCACGACGTAGATGCGAATGTGTGGATCGCAGAGCATAGCGCGACGCGAGGGACGATTGCAGAGTACGGCCGTGCCGCGAGGCAAGAAAGGATCTTTGTTCAAATGATGGCTTTATTATGCTACTTTCTGCTGCTATGGGGATTATAGGTGCACGGCGAAGTGATTCGTGTGGTGGAGAGGCATGTGGAGGCGAAGCTGTGGCCCACAATTGTAGGCGAGGTGTGGCGACGAGGTATGGAATGGTGGCGAAAGATTCACGATCTAGTTACGAAGAGGAGGAGCGAAGGTTGGAACACTGTCTACGAAGTTCAGTGTACACATCTCTACTTAAGAATGAATCTAGCACTAACCATTTTAATGAAAATTTTCCTATAGTTTTTTCTACCTTAAAATAAGATAAACTGTTATCCCTATTTATATAAGTTTTAGTTTCCAGTAATAGCTTTGGTCTGATTATTTTGCGGAACCATAGATTGCGTACCGGCATAGCTTCTAACAAAAGTTCTGTGTCAACAATTGTATAACGCGCCTGACACAAAGCAATGAGGCGCGCCGTCACGGTGACCCCCAAAAGCACTGCAGTGGATGAGCAGCCGCATTCCCGCCAAATCCACTCACCCACCTCACATCCCCGAGCGTGCTGTTTTAGGAAACGTCACGAGAACGCTCTGTAATCAGTGTTTTTATCTATCACTTCTCGGAGACATATTTACAAACTCTGCAACCAGTTGGACACGAGGGTCTGAAGTTTTAAGTAAGCCGCCTTTCGTCGATTTTTTTAAGGTGAGATGTATGGCGAGCACGGAAGCATTGTGTTTGCTGCCGAAGAGCACGGAAGCATCGTATTTAGTCACTACTCGGTGCGAACTCTCTTTCCGCAACCTCGTAGCGTTAACCGATATACTGAGAAGAAACGAGTAGGCGGCGTTGCTGAAGCTGGTGGTCCAGGCAATAAGCACGAATAGTAACGCGGCGAGGAAATTCTGCGAATGCTTGCTGCGACTCGCAATTTTGGGTCGGAAATTGCGAGTGATTGAGAGTTCGAGATTACATGGGAGAATCGCATGTTTCGCTGGTGTCAACGCGATTTTAGGTCAAGAAAACGAGGGAATTTATTACTTGTTTCTGTTGACGATTTTGAAGGAAGCAAGCGGGAGAGATAATAGGCCGTTTGAACAAAAAGAGATGCAAGTTTTGCACGGCTTTAACGTTATGTTCTGATCCTATTGTACATCTCCTCTTCCTCTCTTCCATCGCCCCACCAGGCAGAAACAAGCAACAGCGTGTGGTTACCAGCATGGAGAGGAAGCAGCAGGTGCTGGGGTTCGGCCAGAGGAAGCCAGTGGGGGAGCGGCAGGGCAAGCATGGCAGTACGACCGGCCAGCAGACAGGTTGGAAGGCCGCGGAGGAGCCGGGAAATGAGGTGCAGAACGGTAAGTTGTGGCACAGGGGGGTGCAGAACGATGAGTCGTGTAGCGCATCCAGGATATATTTTGTTGTGTCACATCCTCCTCCTGTCCCGTTGTCTGTTCTTCCCTCACTCCAAGTTCCTTCCCATCCATTTCTGTCAAACTTGCGTCTCAAGAGCGCGTCGACGTATACGTGGCATCTCGGAAATCCACTATCCCTCTCTCATTTCTTTCCCACCCTCATTTCTTCCCCACCCGCCTTTGCCGCCGTAGCACCGCATACGCAGTCTGAGCGGGCGCTGCAGTTCTTTGACATTCACACGACTTGCACCCCCTTCCGTGTCGCTTCCCATGCTCTTCCCTGTCTCGCCAACTCCAATTCTCTCCAGACGCCATCGTCGCACCACCGCAGGAGCAGGCAGAGCACACTGAGCGCGCCCTGCAGCTGTTTGACATGGACATGGCGTTCGGCCCCTGCACTGGCCTCTCCCGCCTGGAGCGCTGGCAGCGCGCCAACCGGTTGGGGCTCAACCCTCCGCCGCACGTGCGAGCGCTGCTGGAATCTGCCTCGTGTCGTGAAGACAGTGTCTGGGAGGGCAGGGTGTGAGAGGGGGGTGGGGGGGGTCAGCATAGCTGCATGGGTGCAAGGCATTAGATTGTTGCGGTGAAGATAGCTCCTGGGAGGGCAGGGTGTGAGTGGCGGGGGAAGCATAGCTGCATGGGTGCATGGATTGGTGGGTGGTGGATGGCTGCATGGGTGCATGGGTCTGTGGCCCGTGGGTGCGTGGGTGCATGGGTGCGTAGCCGCATGACATCTGGTTGCAGCGGGGGTTCTGCCCGCTGGGTTAGGCCGGGAGGGAGCAAACAGTCTAGACCTGAAGCCTCTCCTTCACATCTGAGCGCTTCGGAGGCTGGATGCAAGGGCGAGGGGTGAATTTGTGTGAGGGTGGGGGATGCGTGTGTGTGAGTGGGATGGGCAAGTGTGCGAGTTCGGATGAGTGCGTATGAGCACTATGTAATGTATGGTCACCATGAGCGCTGTTCTGGAATGCTATACACTACTAAAAAACCCTATGGTATGTTCTGTTGACTTACGGTATTACTACCGGTATCTACGGGTGTCCTAGTAGTGGCCAACGGTGAAAGCCAGTCTCTTCTAGGTAGGTACCAAGTATATAAATATTTTCAACAGGCTGTTCAAAATTCACAATTTTTCAACTTCCACAACAAAGAATCCAAAAATTGCAGTCGATATTTCACAAATATTTTTTATCGTACATCTTGAAATTTCACCATTTGTTTTTACAAATGCAACAGCAACATCATTGACAAATGCATGGTATGTCATTTTATTGGACCTCTACCGTATACACAACAGGTTCTTGAAACAAGACTCGACGTTGACGTCGGAAGGGTTGCGTATGTTAGAATTTGAAGTGAATGTGTAGGATCGTATTACTTAGGATGGTAACTTCCTGTCGTAGCGGAAGTCTTATATGAGTTCAAGCCAGTTAAGAAGGCTTTTGTCTAGACTTAAAGTCTATGTAGTGATATGTTTCAGGATCAATGTCTCTGAAATCAGATATATTATAAAATGACAAACATACAAAATATATAGCTAGAGTAAAGTACATGTTCGCCTACTGTACTGTGCTATTCTTGTCTTGAAACGGTACGTAGCTTTTGTTGGAAACAACTGATTTAAGCGCCTCTGTCGTGTCGAAACACCAAGACAGAAGCGAAGCAGATCGTATCGAGACATCGGTGAGTCAACAGCTGGAGGTTACGCGAAAGTCAAAGGTCAGCGACCTTTGACCTGACAAATGCAGCGCGACAGCAAGGACAAACAACTGTCTCGATACTGAGCAGTTGCCCGAGTCGACACTGTATCGAACCGCAACAGCAACAGTAAAACAGTTGTTAACTGTATCTCTTCATATTCCTTGTATTCCTATAAAAGTTTATATCTCTTTTGTTTAATCAACTTACTTTGCCCTCACATACAAGTGCAAGGTGGTTCAACAAAGTCTTTATTAAAACGCTTCCGCTACTACATCAGGGTCGTCGCTAGCAGAAATTTTCTGTCTGTTTGTCCGATATTCAAACAGATTTTTACCAGTTCATCTGATTTTCCAGAAATGAATTTTTGAAATTTCTGATTCATAAGAAATGTTTTTTTGAATTCATCTGATCAATCAGGAACCTGTTCTGGTTTCGTCTGATACCGAGTTCCAATGTAGAAGGGTGTTTCGTGTGTGAATGGAGTTTAGCTATTTGTCTGAAACCTTACTTAAATTTGAAAGTAGCCTAGTTTGTTGCGATTGGCTTCACAATGGTGAGCAGCCGAGTTCGAGTCCCAAAGTCGCGCGTTCTTCTTTGCAATTCCTTCGTAAGGTACAGAACACTGTGAAATGAGGAGGGCTCTAAGAAAATCAATCAGAAATTGAATTTTAAACATTTCTGATTCAGCAGAAATGTTTTGAAGGAAAGTCTGATGCATCAGACAGAAAAAACCACGCCATCTGATGCATCAGGCAGGCTCAAAACCTAGGGATGACCCTGTACTACATCATCCTACCCTTGAATTCTGTCCTGTAAAGATCCTAAGGGCCTTTTCAGCCCAACATGGTATGAGAGCAGTCAGGGCAAATTCGACTACGAACAAAATATCTACAACATCCCAAGACATGGCAACTCAGAAGGAGAGAAGCTCCTCTAACGGCTCTCCCGGCACTACTCCTACTCCACCTCCTGCCTCTGGCCTACAGACAGAGGAAGGTACGGCAACAAGACCAAGGGCATCGTCTTCGGAAACTCCCGCAAATCAAGCTGCGGCCTTCGATCCAGACATGATGGAGAAGTTCTTCTCCTTCATGTCCTTCTACGAACAACACCAGCAAGGGGCACCTGCACAATCAAACAACAGCAACAACAACGCAACACCGATGAGCCTCGACGGTTCATCCTACGCACGTGGAAATCAACAGCAACGGCCTACCTTTGCCCCGTACGAGCCCCAGCGTGGCTCCGTCAGCTTTATGCCACACCCGCAACCTGCATCAGGACAAGAAAAGACATTGGATGCACTTCAAGTTCAGTCGCAGTTCGCGCACGTCTTAAAACTGCAAACGACAAGGCCTTTCGACGGAAAGGATTTCTTTACCCGGTCATTCGAGTTCGAGTTAATGATGGAAGGCGCGCAGATTCTTGGCTTCTTCGACGGGTCCCTGCCATATCCAACACACGGCACACAGTACGACAAGCAGCAGTACACGTATCAGTCAATGATGGCGTACACAATCTTACTGAGAAACATCACTCCGAATCAACAGCAGAACATACGGTCTTACCGGGGATACGGCAACTCTGCAGAGCTCGCGTACAACCACTTGAAGAACCTGTATCAAGCAACAGACAGCGTAAATCAAAGTCGGTTAATGGCGCAACTGACGACAGTCGAAATGAAACCAGGCGAAAAAGGGATGGCGTATATCAGCCGTTGTCGCGAATTGCGCGACAAACTCCTTCGATGTGGAGGGTCGATTTCAGAAGACGCCTTCGTCACAGTCATCATCGGCGGCCTCGGTCCTCAGTGGCGCTCCACCCGCGCCATACTCCGAGCGCATGGAAAGATATCAGAAGCAGGGAAAGATATCAGAAGCAGCACTCTGCGCCGAGATCCACGCTGAGCAGCAAGATATGGACCTGCAAGAAGAACGACACAACAAAAAGACATCAGTACCTGAATTTGCATTTCACACTCAACGGCGCTACAACAACAACAACTATCAGCATCAACCGAAACTTGTACCTCCGTTCTGTCACCTCTGCAAGACGTCCGGACACCCTCGTACACACTGTCCTAACCGACAACAGTCAGAACCGACACAACGACAGCTTCGGCCTTCAAGCAGTCAGATTGCCTCAACGCAAGCAAACTCGACATCCCAAGTACAAGCCTCAACAACATCGACGGGACAACCTGCGCAAGAAACAAGAAACATCGTCAGTTGTATGACACGACTGACTGATTCCTGCATCACCGAGTCTCCACCACATTACTCACCGGAAGAACAACTCGACAACAGCACGCCTCGCCGCGAGTCACTTCAACCAAATCCAACGTACGCAGCCATCGCTCAAAGCGAGCCATCCGGGAAGGATACGTGGTTCTTGGACAGTTGCTGTGGACAGCATATGTGCTCTTCAGGACGCTTTGTTCAACGCGAACATCAACTTCAACGTGAAGTCGTCATCACCGTCGCCAACAATCAGAACCTGCGCACACGACGACAAGGCGTAGTACAACTTCAGTCACGAGAAACAAACGTCATACTGCGGATGTCAAAGGTTTTGATAGCAGAAGGGCTCGGTTACAACCTATTGAGCGTCAGTCAGCTGATGGCGAAGGGCATCCACTTCGAAGCAGACAGCACCACTCAGGAGTTTAAGTTATACCACGGGAAAGGTGGTCTCTACATCGGAAAAGCAATCCTGAAAAACAACGTATTCGTCCTCGACTTTGTTCCAGATCTTGGCACTGCCGACAGCGACGGGATTGTCACCTTCACCTCTTGGACACATCCACCGGATCTTGATCCTGACTTCAGTCCAGAAGGCTTTTGGTACTCGCACACCATCCCTGAGGCAGAACGAACAAGAGCATTAGCGACAATCCAGCACTCAGCAGCAGCAGAAACAACATCAACAGCAGCAGAGACAACAACGGCAGCAGCAGCAGCAACATCGACACCAATCGCTGGTCCTTCAACAACATCACCTCAAATCGACGACACTCCACTGACTCCAGCGCAGCAGCTTCACCCAAAAACACGAGAAGTACATCGAAGTGCAAACTTCACCGCAAGCTTCTACTCCAACTCCGACTTGTATCGTCGCTCACCCGGACATCGCGCTAGCGAAGACATCTGGCACGCACGAATGGGACATCCAAGCAACACGGTGTTAAACAACACAATCAGAGCAGGAGTGCTCGACAAAGATTCACTGCTTCTAACCGATGGAAGCGAACTTCGACGAGCTCGTGGGACGTGCTTTACCTGTCCCGAAGCTGACTTACCGCATCGATCATTCGCTTCTCACCATAACCCCAGCGCACCAGTTTACGCACCACTTGAAAAGGTGTACAGCGACATCCTGTACAATCGTGAACCCGGACAAGGAGCATACAGTTATACCATCACGTTCATCGATGCAGCTACTCATTACGTTTGGCACCTCAATCTTCCAAGCAAAGACATGGCCTTCGAAGCCTTCATCGCTTGGCTTCCAGTAGCAGAACGAGAGTCAGGCGAGAAACTGAAAAGCTTTCAGTCAGACGGAGGAGGAGAATACACCTCACAGAGGTTCAAGCAGTTCTTGGCAGAAAAGGGAATCAAGAGGCTCATCTCGCTTCCTTACGCCCATCAACAGCAAGGCGTGGCGGAACGGATGAATCGAACTCTCCAGAACACCATGCGCAAATTACTGCGTGGCATGCGACTGCCCAATCACCAGTGGCCTGAAGCGATGGACCACGCTGTCATGCTGCACAACTTGCTCTCATCGTCGTCACTACCGAACAACGCATCACCGCATCTGCTGTGG